ATATCGCTTTAGATTCTGATGATATGTCCGGCGAAAATATTTTGCGGACAGAGAGAGAGAGAGAGAGAGAGAGAGAGAGAGAGAGAGAGAGAGAGAGAGAGAGAGAGAGTGCGCATGGTGGCTTTTATATATTAAGATTCTAGGGAAGGGTTCTGTAATAAAAATAATTTTTAATTTCACAAGGGCGGCGCCACGGGAGGGTGCGATTTTTCTCTATATGCGGTATATAAAAATAAAAGTCGATTTTGGTGTGACACCGTTATCCGATATCCATGAGACTTTGGGGGAGTTGATTGGGACACTCTGGGAAAGGGTTTTGTAAAAAAAAAACATATTTAATTTCGCAAGGGCGGCGCCACGTGAGGGTGCGTTTTTTTTTCTATATACGTGGTATAAAAATAATATAATTGAATTGCGGTGACACCGTTCACACGATCGCCATGAAACTTTGGGAGGATGTTGAGAATATTCCTGAGGAGGTTTATGTGCTAAAAACAGTCTCAAATTGTCAGGGGTGGCGCCCTGTCAGGGCTCGAATTGTTTTCTTTCTATATATAGTATATAAAAATAAAAGTAGTTTGCGGTCTCACAACGTTTATCCGATAGCCATCAAACTTCAGGGACTTGATTAGAACACTCCAGGGAAGGGTTCCGTAAAAAAATATTTTAATTTTGCAAGGGCGACGCCACGGTATGATGGGATTTTTCTCAATATGCGGTATTGAAAAATAAAAGTCGATTTTTGTTTGACACCATTTATCTGATCGCCATCAAACTTTGGGGAGTTGATTACAACAATTCAGGGAAGGGTTCTGTAAAAAAAAATCCTTTCTAATTTTGCAAGGGCGCCGCCACGAGAGGGTGCGATTTTTCTCTATATACGGTTTATAAAAATAAAAGTCTATTTCGGTTTCACACCGTTCATCCGTGTACCATGAAACTTTGGGGAGATGATTAGATCCTTCAATGGTAGGGTTCTGCAAAAAAAAAAAATTAATATTGCAAGGGTGGCGCCCCCCGGGGGGAGCAATTTTTATCTTTATACACGGTACATATAAAATAAAACTCGGATGCGGTTCATCCGAGTGCCATGAAACTTTAGGGAAGAGATGAGAATACTCCCGAGAATATTTCTGCGAAAAACAAAACTAAAGTTTCTTATGGGCGGCGCCATGTAGGGTACGATTTCCGTCAATACACGGTTTGGCGCCCAGAGATGTAGAGCGACTATGTTGGCACTTGGCATCCGTTAATCGAGCGTCCTGCATAGCGAGTAAGGGGTACTACTATATTCAGCGGTAAAACTACAACAGGCTTCTAAAAATAATTTTGTAACGCGAGAAAATGTCTATCCGTCCATCCGTCCATCCGTCCATCCGTCCATCCATCCATCCGTCCATCCGTCCATCCGTCCATCCGTCCATCCGTCCATCCGTCCATCCGTCCATCCGTCCATCCGTCCATCCGTCCATCCGTCCATCCGTCCATCCATCCATCCATCCATCCATCCATCCATCCATCCATCCATCCATCCATCCATCCATCCATCCATCCACCCATCCACCCATCCATCCATCCATCCATCCATCCATCCATCCATCCATCCATCCATCCATCCATCCATCCATCCATCCATCCATCCATCCATCCATCCATCCATCCATCCATCCATCCATCCATCCATCCATCCATCCATCCATCCATCCATCCATCCATCCATCCATCCATCCATCCATCCATCCATCCACGTATCCACCCATCCACCCACCCATCCACCCATCCACCCACCCACCCAATTCACCCACCCACCTACCTACCTACCTACCTACCTACCTACCTACCTACCTACCTACCTACCTACCTACCTCACAAAATCTCAGAACACCCCTCCCCCCTTCAAGTGTGATATCATTCCATCCATCCATCCATCCATCCATCCATCCATCCACGTATCCACCCATCCACCCACCCATCCACCCATCCACCCACCCAATCCACCCACCCACCTACCTACCTACCTACCTACCTACCTACCTACCTACCTACCTACCTCACAAAATCTCAGAACACCCCTCCCCCCTTCAAGTGTGATATCATTTTTGAACAACCGTATAGGTGTGAAGTAAATCAATAAAAAGAAATGGATAGTTCAAAACTATTTTTAACAAATAAACCGGGAGTGATCTCCCCTAAACTCTCTCGAATATTCTTATATAAAAAACACGTGATGGGAACTCGGGATATAGACATGATATTTAATACATTTTAAATACTTAAACTTTTTAAAATAGAATAAAATCTCGTAGAACATTGAATTGCACACCATTGGACGCCAAATAAAATGTGCATAATAGTGCGGAATATTATTAGTACTCCATAAATTTACATTAGTTATGAGAAATCGGAAATAGCGTAAATTAGTATTTTCGTTTAACTCAAAATTTGACAGAAGGTAGAGAATTAGATCTTTTACTTACATGTGAAATTTTATTTATATGTCTGAAATAGTACTCAAGTTATAGGTTTTTGAAAAATTCAAAGTAAAAAAGTACCATTTCCGGTTATCAGAAATTGCTAAAAAAAATGATACGGATCTACGATTTTGATATAATATTTATATATTAAATTTCATCAACCTAGCTGTAACGTTACTCAAGTTATCGTGTATACAGACACACACACAGACACACACACACAGAGACATAAGGACAAGATTGCAAAATTATGTTTTTCCGTATCAGTGAGGTGTAAAACGTCGAGATTTGCAAAAATACAAATTACTTAAAAACAAAATAATAAACATTGAATAGCCAGATTTTTAACGGAGTCATTTAAGTCACTTAATCAGTGTGTGCCTGTGTTATGTTAAATGTGTCGGATTTTTAGGTAACTAGTTATTTCTTTGCTTTGTCAATAATATCGTCAGCGTGTAGTAAAGCACATTGCGTTTGGAGCAATAACTATTTCATAAATTTTTTACTCAAACAAGTACATTTTAAAATATATAGGCCTATAATTCACGTGAAACAGGTACCGATGGCTAGTGTGTACTAAAGCTGTCGTCGATTTTTTTTCTCTGCCCTCGTTTAAACCCGTTTTAGCCTAATGGTGAACCTTTATTTTGTTTACTGCAACTAGAAGCTTGTTTTAAACTTTTAGTTCTTCTAAAATGACGTCAATTTCTGTCCTTATCCTCACGATAACACATTTTAAAGTCTGCTACGCGACATCCACTTTACCACGCCTACCCATAGATCAATCTGTTTGCTATGTATCCTAAGTAACAGGCATTAAATACAACTTTGAATCATGTTAAATTTCTCGACATTGCATTGGTTGAAACTCTGGCTGACGTCCGTGCCGAACACTACTTAAAGTGACAACTTTTGTTTCAAGAAGTTTTGCGAAGATTTTCTGTTTGTGGAGGATTCCGTCAGGTTTAGCACTTAAATTTTTAAAATAAAAAATTATAACCGTATTAAAAACATTTTTCTGAAAAACGTAAGATCTAGATTGAAATGTTTATAATATTTTACTTTGTTAGGTGAAATTATTTTCTCGATAGATAATTATTGTTCTCATTAACACAGGCAGCCGCGGTCCCCCCCCCCCCCCCCCCCCTCCGAGGTGAGGTCACTTTGTCAAGGCAGGAAATTAAACACTTGATCTGAAGGCTTACGGTGTTTGCGCTGACTATCGTGAAGAGCCTTACAAAATCCTCACTAGGCCTATTGGGGTTTAATGAGTAAAACAGTGAAAGACCATTTTACAACACATAGGGCATAGAATAATGAAGAGTTTACCTGTTTCTATGACCTCGGCATTAAAACGATAATGTGGTCTGCACAATGCCTGTACCGCATTTTCCCCGAACACAGCTGGGTGGTCCAACGGGAGTCCGAGATCCGAACTCGAGACTTTCAGGCTAGCACGATTAGGCACTACCACCTAACTTGATTGGCACTTAAAAGTTCATAATAACATATATATATATATATATATATATATATATATATATATATATATATATATATATATATATATATATAATATACACACTATATATGATATATATATAAATATGTGTATATATATATATATATATATATATATATATATCGTTTAATCATTTGTATATATATTTATCGTTTATGCATTTAACAGTATATAAAAATATACGTTTCAGGAACAATAGAATGGCTAAAATTTTGTTACGTAAGTTCTCTTTTAACGCTATTACATAATACAAAGGGAGCTAATAAATAACTGCAACTCGCGGGTTTTTGTTATAATTTTGCTACAGTGTTCTTAAATATCAGTTATTATATATAATATCATAATTTATAATATTATAATGTATATTTAACATTCTATTTCAGTGTTTGCTGCTGCGGCACTTTGTGTCTGTAAGTATTTATGTTTTATTTACTACAAAATTTATAATGTAGAACCTCATATTAGGCGCTGGTAATTATGATATATATAGTGCAATGTTAGATGATCTATTCGCTTATGATTTATTTTTATTAAAAAAATTTCATGGAGTTTTTTTGTGGAGAGGATAGTCATTGCTTGCCAAATGGTGGTGGTCGTACACTTTCCCCAACTCTCTATAATTTGATTTGCTTGATTACGTCCTCCATATAATACATAAAAGTAACGTTCCCTTTCAAATCTGAAGGTGTAAGGGGCAAGTGAAGTAGAGTTCAATGGTTTCTGTGACCATGTAATACATATACAACATAAATATTACGTTTTAAGCCGGTTCGTGTAACATTGCGCTACATTCCCAAATAACCAACTCCGATACTAAATATTTTTTTCTAGAACTTCCAATCAAACAACCCGCGCAAACTCTAAGTCACATTGGTAACACACAAAAATGTAGGATTTTAAAAATAAATTAAGAGAAGCACGTGGTTTTAGTGAGAATATGATAAATAACATTTTGATCAAAACAATTTGAAATCATCAGTATAATAAACCGGGAGTGATCTCCCCTAAACTTTCTCGAATATTCTTATATAACACCACGTGGGATGGCAACTCGGAATTTAGATATGATTTTTAATTACTTAAACTTTTAAAAATAAAATAGAATCTCGTTGAAAAAATAATTGCGCACCAAGCGAACGCCAAAACAAAATGTGCATAATAGTGCGGAATATTATTAGTACTTTATAAATTTACATTTGTTTTTTGAGAAATCGGAAATAGCGTAAATTACTACTTCCGGTCAAAGGAAATTACTCAAAATGTAAAAGAAGATAGGGGATTAGATCTTTTACTGACGTGTGAAATTTCATTTATCTATCTGAAATAGTACACAAGTTATAGGCTTTTGAAAAATTCAAAGTAGAAAAAGTACCACTTCCGGTTATTGGAAATCGCTCAAAAGTTAACACGGATCTACGATTTTGATATAATACTTATATATTAAATTTCATCAACCTAGCTGTAACGGTACTCGAGTTATCGTGTTTACACACACAGCCATACGGATAAGATTGCAAAACTATGTTTTTCACTCAGGGATGTGTAAAACGTCGGGATTTGCAAAAATACAATAGCCAATGTAAATAAGACGATCATGTAAAAAAATATGATGTTGAAATAAAGTCGTTGGTAGTTAATCCATATAACCGTATATCTTCCTTTAATGTAAATGTAAGAAAGTAAGCACACCTTAACGCCTATACAAACGTTCATAAAAAGTACCTTGTTATTTTTAAATAATTGTTTTTTTTTCTTATTTCAACGCTGAAGGTTTTATCACTGCTCAGAGTGGTTCAACAACCGAACGTAAGTCTTTATAAATATTATCTATAGATATGCATACATATGTTAAGTAGTAAGGACTCACCAAAAATTATATAAGCCTACATATATGTGTTTTTTTATTTATGTGAATGAATATATATATATACATATATATATATATATATATATATATATATATATATATATATATATATATATAATTATATATATATAAAGAGAGGGATAGATCGACAGACAGACAGACAGACAGAGAGACAGGGCGACAGACAGAAAGGCAGACAGACAGACAGACAGACAGACGGACAGACAGACAGACAGACAGACAGACAGACAGACAGCTACAGCTACAGCTACAGCTACAGCTACAGCTACAGCTACAGCTACAGCTACAGCTACAGCTACAGCTACAGCTACAGCTACAGCTACAGCTACAGCTACAGCTACAGCTACAGCTACAGCTACAGCTACAGCTACAGCTACAGCTACAGCTACAGCTACAGATGCAGATGCAGATGCAGATGCAGATGCAGATGCAGATGCAGATGCAGATGCTGATGCAGACGCAGGCGCAGGCGCAGACGCAGACGCAGACGCAGACGCAGACGCAGACGCAGACGCAGACGCAGACGCAGACGCAGACGCAGATGCAGATGCAGATGCAGATGCAGATGCAGATGCAGATGCAGATGCAGATGCAGATACAGATACAGATACAGATGCAGATGCAGATGCAGATACAGATGCAGATACAGATACAGATACAGATACAGATACAGATACAGATACAGATACAGATACAGATACAGATACAGATACAGATACAGATACAGATACAGATACAGATACAGATACAGATACAGATACAGATACAGATACAGATACAGATACAGATACAGATACAGATACAGATACAGATACAGATACAGATACAGATACAGATACAGATACAGATACAGATACAGATACAGATACAGATACAGATACAGATACAGATACAGATACAGATACAGATACAGATACAGATACAGATACAGATACAGATACAGATACAGATACAGATACAGATACAGATACAGATACAGATACAGATACAGATACAGATATATATACAGATACAGATACATATGATTATACATTATGATTAATGAAACGTTTTAGCAACGAGAGCCCATTTCATTAAAGGGGTGGGTGTGAGCATATTATCGCTTTGTCGTATAGTAGGAGCTTGGGGATATTATGAAATATTACGATCTCAGACCATAATAATGAGATCATATTCCGACTGCTTTTTCTCATATTGCTATTATTCGTAAAGATTAATAAATTAATTCTTTTCTTTGATTTTTGTTTTAGTCACGTCTGAACAGCATATAAAAAATCTTGTTGACCGTGTGGTTTGTTCAGATTGCGAATTTCGGAAACGCACCTTGATGAGTAAAACTCATAAAAATGACACCTGCACGTAAGTAAAGACATACACTTGCACTATGGTACGTTTTAAGTGTAAGTTTACATAGACCATTTGGCTTTCCATTACCTGTTCGCTATATATTATTTTCTGAGATGATTTAATATTTATTAATATTTTCTTTTATCCATCTGAATAAAATAATATTTCCTAGTAGTACACGCATGTTACTTTCTTTCATGTTAGACCAGTTCTAGATATATTAGGTAACAATTTTAAAAATGTTTTCATCACTAACATCCAGCGATTGGACAAACTCTTCCACACTATGATGGTTGTTAAAATAAAAAACTTTTTAAAGTGTTTTAATGTAATATTAATCTGTGTGAAGGAAGTTGCTTTGAAATTTACAACCTAAATTATATGTACACTCATCAAATCTAAATATTTATTTCATTTATTACAGGTCATTCAGCGAATTCAGAACATGCTTGTTCATATTTTGTACCTTTAACATAAGACATGGCGCGATCACTGAGGCACAAGAAATTTGTGGTAATGTATTTAGTCTGACAGCCCATACAACACAAGTTAAAGTGGAAACATAACTTTTTGTATGAAGCAATAGATTATGAAATATAACTTTAAATCAACCGATTTACTTTACTTTACAACATGGTATCCGTACAGTGTCCTCAAAATATCCGCGCTGTTGATACTTTAACGTCACTGAACGCCACTGTAACGTTCCTTTTACCCACGTTTTCTTTAACTTGCTTTCGCGTCTGTTTGTTTGTTTTTCCATCAAATCTTGCTATCGAAATTTCGGGCACTTCCCAGTTAGCTAGCGCGCTGAAATTTTCAGGGAAGATTTGTTTCCGATGACAATACAATATTCAATTATTATTATTACTAAATTGATCCATGGAAAAATTTTATTGATCATTTTAGACCCCTATTGATTTGTACAAAAAAGAGACATAACCTAGTAGTTGGAATTTGATAAAACAAGGTTCGGTACTTTCCCTCTTCTGGCTAACTGAAGGAGCGAGCACGCGATTGGCTGAGTAGTGGTCACGCGGTGTTTGTGTACAAACCTATGCAAATCTGACTGATCAGGAAGTAGAATGTTGATGGTTGAATGGTTTGCACGCGAGGGCAAAATGGTGAAAGAAACGGCAACACAGAAGAAACGTCGATTGGAAAAGGCACGTGTTTTTTACGAGTTGTCTACGTTTACCCAAAAAAAAAAGTGAATTCGAGAAGATAAAATCGATAGCAAGATTTGAATGCAAACAAACAGACAAAGACTAAAAAGTAGAAAATAATTATCATTAATATTTTTTTAAAAAAATCTCACGTTTTCTGATTAAACTAAAAAGTAGAAAATAAATGCTATACATCACAATAATGCAAGCGATCACTCTACTATAAGCGATCGCAAACTGCGTGCGCATTATGACAAAAAATGAAAAACGTGGGGCGCCGTGATTTTCTTATACTTTTTAATACTGTTGACTCTCTACAAGCTCCCTAATAAAACTCAATAATATTATCTAATCAATAGTAATATAACTTTTACATCTTATATTAACAATGACCGATAAAAAACTTTAACTTCGGCGCCCCACGTTTTTCATTTTTCCCACGTTTTCATTAACTTGCTTTCGCGTCTGTTTGTTTGTTAGTTTGTTTGTTTGTTTGTTTGGTTTTCCAATCAAATCTTGCGATCGAAATTTTGGGCACTTCCCAGTTAGCTAGCGCGCTGAAATTTTCAGGGAAGCTTTGTTTCCGATGACAATAGAATATTCAATTGTTATTATTACTAAATTGATCCATGGATACATTTTATTGATCATTTTAGACCCCTATTGATTTGTACAAAAAACGTGGGGGAAAAGGGACATACCCAGTAATTGTAATTTGATGAAAACAAGGTACGGTACTCTCCCTCTTTTGGCTTACTGAGTAGTGTTTACGCGGTGTTTGTGTACAAACAACCGGAACGTAACAACTGGTGGCCAGTATGGGGGAGACGATATGGTCGAGTGGTTGGGCACACGATTGCTATCCCACTCGACACGGGTTCAAATCTATGTGTTCTAGTCAGTAACGTATTCACACAACGTGTTTTTTACGAGTTGTCTTCGATTAACCAAAAAAAGTGAATGCGAAAAGATAAAATCCATAGCAAGATTTTAATGCAAACAAACAGACAAAGACTAAAAAGTAGAAAATAATCATTAAAAAAGTTTTAAAAAAAACCCACGTTTTCTGATTGAACTAAAAAGTAGAAAATAAATGCAATACATCACAATAATGCAAGCGATCACTCTACTATAAGCGATGAAAAACGTGTTGGCGACCCCCCAGAAAGCCCTTCGCGACCCCCAAGGGGGTCGTGACCCCCAGGTTGGGAACCCATGATCTAGTGCACTCGAATATGTTAACATATGAGGCGAATTAGAGAAATGTACAGGGTTGTACAAGAAAGACTGGTGACAGGACAAATGATCTCAGGACAAATGATCTCAGACAAAATATCTCAGACAAAATATCTCACGGACAAATGATCTCAGGACAAATGATCTCACGGACAAAAGATACCCGGACAAAATATATCAGGACAAATGATACCATGGACAATTGATCTCAGACAAAATATCTCAGACAAAATAATCTCACAGGAAAATGTGACATTTATATGAAAGTCATGGTAGCATTCTTTCATTATTGATAGGGCTTGTAAGTAGGTCACCAACTTCTTGTTCTCGTACTTGCCAGATAGTATATTTCAAACCAAATGTTAAGTTATTTAAAATCGTAAACAATGATAATGATAGACTATAAGATTTAGGTAACTTAAAGAAAAAATATAGCCTTCTTTGAATGTGATTTTCTTAATGAAGCGTAACGTCTGTTGTTATTTATTCCAATCCGTATCAAGTTGTCCTTAACTTAGTTACAATATTATTAGCCTAAGCCTACTGGTACTTCATTTGGTTCCATTAGTAGTAAAAATGTTTATAATGGTTGCATTCTGGGTACTTTTGGTAAGTCTACCGCCCCCACCCCCCTGTCCCCCGTCCCAATCGAAATGTAATTATATACAAAATATAAACGTTTATCAGTGTCTCCCCCCCCCCCCCCCCGAAGAAAAAAAATCAGAAAGAAACACTCACAGGAAATAAGCCCGTTGCCATTGTAAACATTTTTTTAGTACCCTATTATGCTTTTATCTCTTTGCAAAGTTCTAAGTAAGTGCTGCAATTTAGGTGAGAAGTTCAGGGCTTGACCAATCGCTTGTGACGATTGCACAAATATATCTAAAGGTATTTACAATGTATAACTTCACGTTAGCAAGGTTGATATTGATAGAACTTTATGAAATAAGGTTTTTATCAACAGTTGTATAACCTCGCTGAATAGGCAGGTAGAAAATTAAAAAAAATATTGTTTCAAAACTCCAAAATGATTTCTTACCCAAAACAATTAACTGCGATTAAGCAATTGACTATCTTACAGAAAGTTAAAATTAAAATCAAGCTCTTATGTTATAAAATGTTGGTGTTATACATACATATATTTAACATTGCATTAATCAAATACTACAATGTAAAATTCTTAAAACTTAATTTTAACAGCATCTTGCCAATTCATTCTAATAAAAATTTACTATGTATGTACACAGTAATTTTAGCCCCATCACTATTCATGAGAGTTAAAAAATAACTAAAAGTAATTTTATATTTTTAAAAATGTTGTCTTTACTTTCTATTTTACGTGTTTTCCAGATGGATGCAGTGCCCTCCAAATGTCCATGCTCGTGCTCTTCATGGCATCAATAGTGAAGATCTTATTTTAATTAAAGTTCAGACCTTACATCATTTAAACATTTTGCAAACATCATTTTTAATTTTAAGACAATTTTACGATTGGGTAAAAAATTTGAAGGTTAAATTTATGCATGATAATACAAGTACTTTAAAAAAGATAACTTAAAATTACAAAAAAAGGGGGTGGGTGCTAAACAAATGATTAGATCTTGATTGTTGTTATGTAACTGTTTTCATACGTTTTATTTAAAACCTAGTTTTAATGAAAAATCAATAATCTATAATTAAAGTTATATTTTTTTAGAAAACAAATTTCCTATGATGAGCCTCTGGTTATGAGGGAGGTTGAATTTTAAGATGATTTGTGGTGTTATTAATAATTGATAATAAACTGAAAGTAAACGAAAATTCACTTATCTTGTAGATTAGGCATTATTTTACTAACAAATTATAACGTTTGCTAACAAATAAGTTGACTAAATCATTATAAGTTTTGTCTTAGCCAGAATATTAAACAAATGTGGAATATTTCCCTAATTTAATTATTCTATCGTTTTACGGGCACAAAACTAGCAAAAACCCACCGTTAATATTAGGCAGAGTTAAACTAGATGTCAGAATATCCCATCAACACTCGCCCCTAAGTTTGCCAGACACAAAGAGCAGTTTATTTTCTACCTGACGTTTACCTCCGACCCTATACATTTTTATTAGAGATGAAACCTTTTGTATTAGACTTGAACAGTAAACTTTGATTTATTCTTTAAAGTTTCTTTATAAAGGCTACCAGTTTGTTAGCGATATAGTGAACAAAACACCTAGAAAATAAAATAAATATGTAAAAAAAACTGTAATGGTTTTATTTATTTTACTTGTGAGTTATTTTGAATGTATGCTGTTAATTTTGTTGGTATCTTGTTTAGTTTAGTGTACTTTGTTAGACTGTTAAGTCTCGAGTTCGAATCCGGGTTCAAGTCACTAGACCGTCCCTGAGTCCACCCAGCGCTAATGGGTCCCTAACTCACGTTAGGAAATGTAAAGGCGGCTGGGCATGGTGCTGATCACATTATCCCTTTATATGCCGAGGTCAAGAAACATATGAACTCTACTTCTTCTACACAGTGAATTGTTTGGTCTGAAAAGGATTTTTTTTTTACTTTTGTTAGATTCAACACTCATTTTGTGCAGTGAAACCTCGGAAGAGCAATAGGCTGATTGTATTCAATACAATGATTGCTGTGTTTTATACATAACAAACTTTGTTTAACACAATGGCTTCTCTAGCTTATATTTAAAAGACATACCCTCAGATAAAACCAGAGGCGTAGCTAGGGGGGGGCGGGGGGGGCGGCCGCCCCGGGCGCCGACCCTATGGGGGCGCCAAAAGGGGTGGGAAAAATTTTTCAAAGCTGATTTTATGCTGCAGTTTTGAATTAAAAACTGTCTAAGTTAAGAAATGTAATGGCTACACGCCTTTACATACTGATTTAACTGTTTTCTACCTTGATTTCTTAATGTAAAACATATACTCTTAAGAAACAGTGACCGGCAAAACCGCTTTGAAGCTTTTCCTAGATGGGTGGGGGGCGCTTTTTCGAGACTTAAAACGGAAGAATTTACACTAGATTGTTGAGTCGATAAACGTTACCACTATTAAAAGAAACCAATTGTATTAAAACGTATTGTACGATTGTTGGACTGTAAAATACGTTAGTGACTTTTATCAAGATGGTGCAGGTGGGCGCTTTTGGGCTAAATAAAATAGCAAAATTACACTGGATTCTGAGTAAACAACCTTTAACTCTCAGAAAGAAACGAATTGTACTGTGCATTGTATAATTGTGTAACATTTTTTTAAAAAGTTAGTTACGTTAAAAACCGCTCTACAAACTTTGTCCAAGATGGTTGTGATGAGTGTGTGTGGGGGGCGCTTTTTTCGCTAACAAAAATCGCAAGTATTTGTACTGGATTGGTGAGTAGATAACTCTCTTAACACTTAGTAAAGAAACCAAGTGTATTAACGCGTAATGTACAATTTCAATAGCCAGTTTTGTTTAAAAAAAAGACGCGACTAGTTCTTTGTAAGATTCTTACGATTCTCTCAACTTCAACGTGAGAGATCAGATACTTTTGATTGATTGCATTACATCTTACCTGGATCACTGAACTATGTTAAAGAGAACTAAATATCACGGATTCTTGAATCCCTAAACCACTAACCACCACTTTTTTCCATGCTCTTATTTCATTCTCCACTGTTTGTAATCTAGCTCCAAGCCATACAGTAAAAGAGACCACATTTAGTTATAGATCCTGATTGAATTTTTTTGACAATGCATTTGAATTCTACATTTTCTTAGAGTGTTAAAACGCGTTTTATCGCTGCTGATTATAATCAGAACGTCATGTGCTATCATTAAATTGATTGTTACTGCTTCTTCAATCAATACAATTAGTTCTGCATTTGTTGTTGACGTTGTGCGAGCAGTGTTTCTTCCAGACTTTTTTCTCCGGGGGGGCACTTGAAATTTTCGAGGGGGGGGGGGGCGGTAGACTTTCTTCGGGGGGGGGGGGGCGGACACTGTTAAACGTATATATTTTCTATATATAAATTATATAAATTTCATTTCGTTCGAGGGGGGGGGGGGGGCGGTAAAAAATTTTCGGGGGGCTTCGCCCCCCCCCCCCCCCGAAGAGATGCCTGGAAGAAACTCTGTGTGCGAGAAGGCAGGGCAAATCTGCGAAATCCAAGACTACGAGCTGTTAACATCCGTTGGATTCCAGTTTGTTTTCTCTAGCTTGTTTTGTCATACCATCAACCAATCAACGAAATACCCATGTCGTATTCCAATGTGAAAAATAAATATTTCTGATAACTTCTTCTTGTATGTCACTTGTGTGTCCTTACTCTAACAAACTTCGAATCCAACTATGTACCATATCACAACAGAGATCGTTCCAAAACTAGAACATAAAAGGCTGGTCTAAACATATTAGCGTTAGCTACAAACTACCCTCTAACACAGATCAGGCTTATTTTTTTTTTACTGACATTACCAATCTTTCGCAAAAAAAATTAAACGCATCTTAATGGGAATTGAATTGTCGTAAAGTTTTAAGGAATGAAAATCATACAATGTAATTATTAAACCTTGTCCGGACTGTAGCATACACGCTTACACGCACGCTTACACACACAAATACACTCTTAGCCACACACAAGCTTATATATAAACACACTATCATACACACACACATGTATATATATATATATATATATATATATATATATATATATATATATATATATATATATATATATATATATATAAGCGGGGGGGGGGGGGCGCCAAATTGAAAGTTCGCCCCGGGCGCCGGGAAGGGTCGCTACGCCTCTGGATAAAACACCTACTTTACTGGATCGGAGACTTCATAAAGCATTAAATTAGGACAGGTTATTTTATACATCTAAAACATTTATTTTTAGATACATTGCCAACTAATGTAAAATGTATTTAATTTATTGGTCTACATCGAAAATCTGATATTTCATTTCGCTTCGATACAGAACTGTAGTGCCAGTTCAAAATCCATATTTATAAAAAAAATGTCAAATAATAAATGAGCTCGCTCACCGTTGGTATTGTCAACATAAACCTAAACTAGCATGCAAGTCGCACCATTCGCGTCTGTCTATGAAGCTCCAAAGGTGATTACAGGTAAGGTCAAGTAATATCTATTTACCTGTTACAAGTCATGCATTGATTATAATACTTTTAGATTAAAATAAATAAATAGGTAAAATAGCACACGATAGTGATGGGCCTACAAGAAAGAACCAAGAACTAAAATATCACAATCGAAAACAGATTGACAACTACTCTACGTGCTGCTACTTGTATTGGTCCATACTTTCACGTCTAGAGTTATGATTAGAGTTATGGTTTACTACGGAGGTTAGTGAGGTTAGTGTTATGGTTTACGACGGAAGTTAGTGTTATGGTTTACCAGGAGGTTAGTGTTAATGTAAGGCATATATTGTTTAATATGTTGGTCTTTACTAATATATAGTTGTATACCTGCACATGTAAGAGACTGGTTTAGGCTTATTAAAGTTATTGCTTGAAAACTTTACATATATAAAGACTTGTTTATATAGTTTATTTTATTTTACCTCTAGTTTCAAAATTTGTATTTTGCCTACATTACATGATGTTATAAATATAAGGTTTTTTTTTTAGTTTAGATATAATTTAATGAAGTACTAAATATTTTTCAGCTACAAAATGACAATGACAAACTGTGTCTTGAGTACGTATATTTACTTTTACTTACATTAAACTATATTAGTGCTAATATTGTTTGTTAGGTGAGGGACGGCGTACCTAGAGGTAGATCACTACACTGCTAACTCTATAGTCTCGAGTTCGAAGTCAGTTTAGGTCACAGCTCTTTAAGGAAATTAAAGGCTGATTACCACACTGTCCCTTCATATGCCAAGGTCACTAAAAAAATCATATGCCCTTGTGTCTTGGGCACAAATGAGAAAAGATGATTATGAATATTTAAAGTCTTACTTAAACTATAAATGTTTACATAGCAGTATGAATTCTTGTTATAAGTATTGCTAGTGTAGCTGCCTAATTAATAATTACTAATTCTGCTTGCATGTACTTATTAAAAATTATTATTATGATTTCTACTAATTCTAGATATACTCGTATTTAAAAAAATAGCTTGTCCTTATGTAAAACATTGAATGTTTTTATCATAGACAAAGTATTGTCTTGAAAGACCTATCAATTTGACTCAGATTTTGACAGAGTTGTATTAATTTGCCAAAAAAAGAGAATATTGCCATACTTCTCTTGTTATGCCCCATCTTGCATAACTCTAATACAATGGAGCGACGTGGCCGAGTAATAGACCAATTTCATACTGACGTGAGCGACTCGGTTTCGTCCAGCTTTAAAGGGGAGATCACTCCACACGAGCCACCAGGCATAGCAATAATCAGGCAGTGTTTATTACACGCCAATGTAAAACAGATTAACTCTACTGTATCTGCAGTTTAGGGAATTGGGATTCAAAACATTATTACACTACTTTACTACGACAGAAATGGTGTTGAGGTATCCACAAATAAATGCATTTTTTTCTATTTCAAATTCGAGAAACACCGTTGTCTCTTTCTGATTAATGTTTAAAATGCAACTTAAAATTCACCATGGAATTTTTTTTTTATTCAGTTCAAATCTATATATATATAATTCTCTTCTTGGAGACGTTAGAAAACACCAAGCTGTAAGCGCGCCTAGCAGTCACCTCTAGGCATATCGCAACCACCCCCACCCCCACATGGTCTGGTGAGCTGTGGTTCACGCTAAATGTTTACAATCGTAGAGCCGGGTTTAGGGGCAGATAATTTAGTTTGAAACTATTTTAAACTTAGGGGAGGTAACTAAGAGGAGGCTGCTTTCATGGGGGGAGGGGGGGGGGGGGGGTTGGGGGAAAGGAGGGTTTTAGTGTTTCAAAGCAAATATTTTCAGTGACAGCATTGGTACTGTCGAATTCACAAATTATGAATTACTAAAAAGTAGAAAATAAAACTAAATAGCGGCGTGTGATACGCCGCGGGTCGGCTCGTTATTATTCTTTTAGATCTATTTATGTTTCTATTTTTAACAAATCACAATTCAGTCATGTGACACATTTACCATCTTTTCTTTACAGTCGTTGCCGTCACGGTACTGCTACTTGGTAAGGAAAAATTAACTCACTCACAGACTCCTACACAAGACCAATCAACTGTAAAACCAAACAGGTGAACAAGTCATACACAG